CAACGGAATGGCGTGCCATTGTTGCCTCACTTACTGCAAGACTCAAAAACTCTAAGCCGGCCACGGCTGGGAGATGTGGGAAACATGACCAAAGCCAGAAATCCTAGCTCCAGCAAGTCGCGATTTAGCTTCGGCATGCAAAATGTTGGGACACACGGGGCCTGTGCCACTCGAACGTCGTGTGCCCAGGAATGCACACGATGTGCCCAGGAATGCACATGACAACATCCCACTTACTTGGATCTTGCTCAAAGCTTATTTGGCTTACGTCTTTCTCCGGAAAGGAATTCAAAGGGTATAGAGGAATGCAAGTCGATGGGACGACCTCACCACGTGTTTGCAAAACAATTCACGCCACTACCCGCGCGGATAGAAGGAACCTCTTTTGCTGGCCGGTGTCCATCCCGGTGTGCACCGTCTTCATTGTGGCCGGGCGGCAAACCCCGGCGACCCTGTTGCAACCGGATCGGACATACTTGCCAACAGCATGTGAGATCATAGGCCGGTCCAGCTTCAGGGGTGGGCTTGCCTGCTTGCTTCTTTAGAACTGTAACACACTCCATCGCACTCTCTAGCGATATCGAGGTTTAGGGCTTGCTGACGCGTTTCGGCTCGGAGACGGCGTCTCTCGCTTTTGCGAGCCCCCATCTGGTTGAGCTGCGATGTGTACTTGGAGTCGCGCTGTTCGAGCTTGCGACTCCACTTGGCCCCACGGGATGCGGCTGCTGCGCTCTTGTGAAGCGCGGCAAACCTTTCCAAATCCCCCCCGACGGATGCGTTCACGACACCATCCCCAAGGAGCCTCAACTGCATTCAGTCCGGTCAGGTTGGGCATCTGCTTTCGCGGCCGAGATAAGAAGTCGCTCAGAGTCCTCCTCACAGCCGTAAAAGATCTGTACGAACGAGAGCAGCTCTGGCGCGACCTCGCGTAGTTTGCGGAAGAAACCAGGCGAGACATGGAATCATACGCGCTGCAGCCATCGAGCGACGCTCCGGGGCACAAGGACAGAGCAGCCCGCACGCCGGCCGCCATGTGAGCCGCTGCTTTCTACTTGCGCTGCCTCGAAGCGGTGCCCATGTCTCTTTTCATGAAGTCAAGTACTGGCAGACATGCTCGATTTCGTTCAAGTAGCGTCAGTAGCAGCTCTCGAAACGAGATAGGAAACGAGATCAA